TAGCTGAGACGTCGCCTCTTAAGAACCGGTACAACGTCACATCACCTCCTGATTTGCTTTCTTCGAGCCCTCAAGCTTTGCGAGTCCAAGGCCCGGCGCCCTACGACCGCCAACGTAGCCCGAGCAACTCTGCGCCTCTGGAAGATGGCACCATACCGGAGTCACCGCAAATGCCTGCCACGAACACACGGGGCTTAGCGGAACCGATGGGCATTTATGAAAGCATGATGGAATCACAAGAGAGGAAAAGAAAGAGTGCTGAGGTCCAGCCCGAACTCTCGGGAGAGGAATCCGACGACGTGGCCACGAAAATGGAGCGGAGGAAACGTGCTGCAATAAAAAAGAAGGCAGCCGCGCAAGATCTTACAGCTATTCCTGTGCAGCGCGCAAGCTCTAATGCGTCTGTCGAAGTGCCCTCAACGACCAGAAAGCCGAGGAAACCCCCGCCGAGGAGAATGCGATACCGTGCTCGACGTGCTGACGAGGACTCGACTGCATCCGAAGATGAGGGCGACGGGTTCACAGTAGCCGATTCCCAAGGCCACGCAACCGATCAGCAAACTCGTGCCAGAAAGTCGCCTGACACTGTGGAAGTAGGCAATGGCACGAAGAATGGCCTTGTTTCGAGCAACGATGCGGTGCCCGACAGCGCCGGGCCAACCCAGAAGTCTGCCTCAAATGGTGGGGTACCTGGAACAGAAAGTTCGGGCAACGGATCTCGGCCCAAGGACCTCCTTATACCGGAAACCAGTCCCAACAATACTCAATCTCGGCCAGAAGGGAGAGATGATGTACCGCTAGACGTGTCAGTAGACATTAAGAAGTCACAACAGGAAGAGGAACCAGGTGCACCGGTGATCCAGCCAAACGATGTAGAAGCCGAGGTCGAGCTTCTACCCGAGACCCCAGAGCCCTCTCTCCCTCAGCCTTCTCGCCGCTCGAGCCGCAAGCCCAAGCCAACCCTCAAGGCACAGGTTCTCAAAGGTACTAATAGTGCCGTCGTGTCCTCAGATGCCGCCGCAACCAACGTGGCTACATCGCCAACTAAAGAGGAGCCAGATGCACGTCGGCTCTCGCAGGGAAACGGTGCTAAAGTGGTCGACGAGGCGAAAGCTACAGATGTAATCCATGCAGTAATGGATTCGACGGTGAACGGCGAGCCGCCTATGCCATCTTCACCGCCCCTACCAAAGGCTGTCAATGGTGTTGGGCCTCCAGGTACGGTTCTTAGTGAGAGTCTTGCCGAGCAAGGTCCGGCAACGCCCGACAATCGTATCAATCCCGCCGCTCCAACAGCTCCTGGCTCAACAACATCAACACTCAGCTTACTCACAGCCACGCCAGTTCCATCCTCCAAGAGTCCGACTGCATCACAAGAATCGGTGGAACTACCACCTCTCTCACCAGATAAGTCCAAACGTGGACACCAGCCTGCCAAGGCCTTGCCTAGACTCGCCACTGGATCGAGAGCTCCCAAGCCAGGAACCCGCAAGCAGGTCCGGAGGGCAACTCGCCTTGATTCGGCGTCGACAGATGAGCTGCATCGATCACCATCTGTCAACGGATTCGAGAACAGCATCATTCAACCTCCGAAGACTAGCGTCAGAGGCAGCCGCCTATCGATGCTCTCTCACACATCGACGTCTAAAGACAACGCTAGCAAGCCTCCTATTTTTGCTGGCATGGCATTCGCGATATCTTTCCAATCGAAAAAGGACGGGGAAAAAGCGGATCACTTCGAGCAACGAATGGGTCAAAGTCGCGAGATAGAGAAAATGATTCTACAGTGCGGAGGCTTGTTGTTAAGCAATGGCTTTGACGAGCTCTTCGAGCCCAACGCTCTCGGGAGCATGGCAACCAGCCCAACTTCAGAAACGAGGGACGAAAATCCACTGACGCTGACCCCGTTTGCGCAGACCATTGGTTTCACCGCCTTGATCGCTGATGGTCACTCCCGCAAGGTCAAGTACATGCAGGCTCTTGCTCTAGGGCTGCCGTGCATTTCGGACCGTTGGATTGCTACTTGCGTTTCGAAAGGGACTGTGGTCGATTGGCTCCCATACCTGCTCTGCGCTGGTCAGTCCACTTTCCTCCGCGATGCCATCCGATCGCGATATCTAGCGCCCTATTCGGCCACTGACGCACGACTTGTGGACGTCATTGAGAGGAGGCCGAAGATGCTGGAAGGGAGCCAAATCCTTCTCGTGATGAAAAAATCTAGGGCCGAAGAAAAGAAGATGCCATACGTGTTCTTGGCGCATGTCCTCGGCGCCACACTCTCAAGGGCGTACAGCGTCGATGAAGCGAAGGAGACCTTGAGGCAGCGAGAACTACTTGAAGACCCGTTTGATTGGGTCTATGTCGATGAACATACCGGATCGGAGGAAGGATTGTTCAGCGCTGTTGCTCCCACATCGAAGCCTTCGAAAGCATCGAAGAAGAGAAAGAGGGCTGCGCCATCAACAGACGACGCTCCCCGGCCGCCAAAGAGAATCAGGACGTTGAGCAATGAGCTTGTCATACAGAGCCTCATTCTAGGACGGATGATTGAAGAAGGTGAAATGGAGGTCTAAGTCACATGAGTGACCTGAATTGTATTACTATGTGAGATCTGGGATGGAAAAAAGGACGAGGGGAGTTGTTACAAGGCACTTTGACGGCGTTTGAGCATGGGATGGACATGTTATGGGGATGATACCTTTAAGCGAGAGGCAAGCCTTGATATACTTTTGGTCAACGACCAATATCACCATAGTGATTCGAAATCAATCAACAGGATTGAAGTCATGTTCCCTGCCAGATGATGAGTGGGTTCAGCAGTGTTTCACGAGGAGCACAAAGTAAAACAAGTTATTTAGCGCGGAAGCAGTAATCAATTCAGTGAAGTGATGGAGCCAGCCATGCCTTGTTAACAAAACGCCAAAGAACTCCTGATAGTAGGTGCTTAGTTGCCCATCATTCCTGACCAATCTCAACACCTTTTGGCATTTTATGCCCAGGTTGGGGTCCCAATTCCCACGATTACTGCTTCCTGCTCACACTCGAGCCACGGCTGGGCGTGGGCGAGGGGGTGGTCATACCAGTGGTGGCAATGGTGACCTTCTTCGGCTCCGTGCTGCCCTTGGCGCTCGTCTCGACCTCTCCAGCCTTCTTGACTCGGAGAGGGACAGAGAGCGCCGTGGGCAGGAGGCGGACGTTGGACTTGCCCACCCCCAGCTGGGCTCGGTGGGTTGCTGCCGCGGAGCCGAAGGAGCCGATTGCCACCAGGCCCTTGGGGAGTTCCGTTCTCTTCTTGGTGCGCTTGGTGACCCTGTTGCTTGTCTTTGTACTGCTGGGAATAGGGGCAGGGTCACCAGAGGCCTTGGCGGATGGGTTCTTGCCCTTGTTCTTGGGCTTCGGCGTCTTGGGCTCGGTCTTGGCCTTGGTCTCATCCGAGGTCTTCTTAATGGGTTTGTCGACCTTGGCATGAGCCTTGGGCGACGACTTGCCTGTGGCGGAGGAAGGAGACGACTTGGTGACGTGACTGGACTTCTTCACTCCGGATGTGACGGGCTTCAGGACGTTGATCCTGACCTTGGCTACTCTCTCGATCCGAATGTTGGCGGATCGAGGGGCGGGCTTCAAGAAAGGCATCTTGAGTTGAGGTGAAGGGGTATGTAGAGAATAGAAGAGAATAGGTATGGTTGGATGGTCAATCGTGATCAGGTTCCTGAGCTCTGTAGAATAGAAAGATTTAGTCCTCAGAAGAGTGGTGGATGTCCGAGCAGAAGTAGCAAACCTTTGGATGGGATGATGCTGAATTATATAGGACGATTGAGGGAACCTCGATGGCCGACTGTGAGGATAAACTCGGGAAACGCAACGGGCTGGCCGTGATGGCGCAAGAGTACCAGACTCTTGAAAACTATCGCAGAATATTAACCCTCCCGGTCTAACAGGGTGTCGTGGAGGGGATGCTTGTGATACTTACGACTGAGGATGAAGAAGGAGCTTTGGTACCGGACCGAAGCTGAAACGGTATCGGAGAAAAGCAGCGATTCGGAGAAGACACTGTACAACTAAGTTAGGTTTGCTCTTTCCTTGGTAGCTGATATGGTGTGTCTTACCTGGTTTCCGGATGGATGAGGATATTGCGATGGGAAGTAGGTGAAAGGGCAGGTACCAGACCGGTCAAAAGTATCGTAGAAAGGGGGAATGAGAGAAGACCAGTCAATGGTCTTGAGAAAAGAATTAGTTCTGGAAAGCTAGGAGACTGGCTCAAGGGTTATTGGCGTGGAAAGTTGGAAAATTGAAAGAAGAGGGAGAAGTACCTGCTGAAATTGAGGAGAATGGTGAAAAGTCGACGGAGGAAGTTGAGGAAGAGAAATTGAAACGGGAGAAATTTTCAGGAGACCGGACTCTAGGCTGTTAGAAAATGCGATTTCGGAAGCCTTGGTGAATGTGAACAAGTTGTGGGATCGCTTCTCGCTCAAGATTTTACGGTAGCCTGAGTCTTCAGGAGGCCAACGGCAAGGGAAGGAAGGAGCGGAGTAGTATCACAGTTAGGGAAGGGGCAGGACGAATACGCGGTGAATATACACTGGTCCCAGCCATCACCTTCTGATATCGATGGGAACACTGCCTGAGTGAAGCCAGAAGCTCGATTCGGGAAAAGGCTGCATGGGGCAGCAAGTGAAGGAACACGAACATGATCGAGGTGACTGAATTTGGTATCCAAGGGACGTTTGCGAAAGTTCCGTGAGGCCCCTCACGGTACCGAGCCATCTCGCAGTGGCGGCCTTGTCTCTATCATGTCATTATGACCAGAGCAACCTGTGATGCTCTCATTCTGGTGAGTTGGCATGGCCATTTCACTTCGTGAAGTGAGCCTCAGAACCTCGCTCTCAACTGGGGCAGGGCCTAGATTGATGATTACAGGACACAGAGGATCAAATCTAAGTCACATTCTCTGTGGATGCTTGACATAATCGCCGTCGTAGTCTACGGTGAATATTGTACAATTAGAGAGCAACCTCATTGGAGACCGTGAACATCTCATTGTCATCCGTAACACCCCGGCGGGCCTCATCATCTTGCTCGAAGAATCTCATCCAGTAACCAACAGCTCCGATAAGCTCCTTCATCTTCTTGATGTAGGCACCTTCCTTCATCTTTTCACTCTCGACCAGATCGCGGAGATACGCCTTGCGGCCTCTGATGAAGAGCTCGCGTAGCGCCTTACAGGTCTTGGGCGACACCTCGATCTTGTGTGAAGCCTGGCCGAGACCGCCACCGACGATGCCCTTGGCCCGAATATCATCCGAAACGGCCTTGAAGAACTCTTGGTTCTCCATCTCATAGTCCTTATCTGTCTGGACGTAGGACGAGCGACAGGTCCTGGCTGATCCGTAGAGCTGGGTCACGAAGGCCTGGATTCGGATGCTGTCGAGGCTGTATGTGCCCTGCAGCCACAGGGACTCGGAGAGGTTGCTGGCCTCCTCTTCAGGGACAGAGTCGTCGGTCGGTAAACTAGAAGCCCACGGAGAAGGCTGTCTTGACCGTGGTGGTCAGGTCAAGCATCGCCTTGGTGGTCGTGAGGAAGTTGCGAACCTCGGGCTGAACTTTGGCAGGGAGCATGGCTTCAACTGAGCCTTAGTCAGAACATGTGTTGAAAGCTTCCAGGCTTGAGATAGGATGAGGCTGCTATGAGAAAAAAGAACGAAAGATGACTTACGCTCACTGGGCTGGTGTCTCTTCTCGAGCTTCCGGGCGACGCGTGTTACAGCACAGAGAATGTTTCTGGACTTTAAGTCTTTGAATTTCAATCGTGTCGGACGCATGATGAGCAGTTGTCCTCCGCGAACCTTGTTCACTTATCAGAAATAGTTGGGATGAGTCCACAGCTTTGAAAGGTTGAGTCAAACATGCGAGTAGGTCTCGTGGTAATAAAAAAGATACACGTGAGAAACTGAGGTCTGGCATGAAGAATCCATCTGGGGGATGATGCTGCTGGCGACGCACTGGACTGCCGCTCTCATGGAGTTGGTGAGCGCAGCCGTGGTTGTTCGAGAAATGAGGACTTGATCGGCCCCACCCGGCGCTTGGCACGCGCCGGGTCCGCCGATGCCAGCTCCACTCTTCGGCTTGAGCCCTGGAAGCTTGAACCCTTCAACGCCCAAGAGGACCCTACGGCTTGAACGACATGCCTCAATCTTGTGGGAATTATTCGAATCATTTGGCTTCGAATATATCTCTTTCCCACGTCAGATGCACACTGAACACTTATCTAAGTATATGTTGTTCGCCAGAGAATGAACACAACTGTTCAGCGTTGACCCGAGCTTAAAGGCGTCTGCGCACGGAAGTTCTTTCAAATGATTTCGAAAGGAAACACAAAACTTTTGGAAGCAAGAAATCCTGAGATCAGCTACGCTGCAGCATCACCTCGGCTCTTTTTACCAAAGCGTCAACAAACTTATTGCCCCCTGTTGAAACCTCGGCCAGGCGGCGTGCGATCAGATCGGCCGGCTTGATCACATACTCCGGTACGACAACGTGACCCTTCTTCCACTCATACAGAAACTCGTGCTTCTCTCCCTTGCTCGCCATCTTCTTCGACCTGATGAACCCTTCCAGGGATCTAGGATTGTATGTGGCGTGATTCGCCACGCGGTAGTTGACAGACGGGTGGATCTCTTCATTTGTCTGGCCGAGATCATTGCCGACATCGTCTTTCTTATACTCTCCAGGAGTTCTAAACTTCGAGAAGAACGGCGTGACTCTCATGATGGGCGCGAATATGTCGACGATTGGCCCCGTGGCCCAGGCGTCTTCCGGGTCGTACAAAGGGGACTTGAAGAACATCTCGTAAATTTTGCTGTAGTCCAGCCCTTGGCGCACGCGCTGCACCACCCAGCTAATACCGAAAGGTTGCTGATGGCGCGAGCGATGGATGAGCCGGTTTCGGGATAAGATTTCGCGATCGGCCAGCGTCGACATTGTATACTTCCCATCCTTGTATCCGTGCTCATCGTCGAGCTGGATGAAGGTTTTGATCTGGTCGCACATCCATGTGAATGAAATCAGAGCAATTTCTGCGACATTGTCAGCTTACCCACTAGGTCCGGCAGATGATCGTCTGAAAACTCACGCTCAAAATCAAAGGGGAAGCCGTAGAGAAGGCCTGGATTACCGCCTCCGATATTGATATGTCCGCCAGGGAACCAAACCTGCCGCAGCTCAGGCTGATCACCGTTGAGCTGGTCCGCCATCTCACGCTCGATCAAGGCCTTCCATGCTTGGGAAAGCTCCTCTTCTGTGGCCTTCGAGTTCGCTTTCAAAAGTGACCTGAACTTCTTCGCAAGCTGATCTTTTGGCTGTTCATGGCAGCCGGGACATTGCTCGTTCTTCAGCGGGAGACGCCAGAGCGTTGGCGTAAATGGCTGTCGATGCTCGTCGAGCGCGAGTGCATGGTATGCATGCCTGATATCTACTACTTATCAGAGGTGCTCGGCTTCCGAGGCTCGCAAGCTTGCGCTAGACTCACATCTACTCAGGGATGGGTTGTGGAATCCAAGGTCATCGACGCCAAGCCAAGGGGCAAGTCTAGCGATTTTGGTAGTCGCGCTCTGCGTCCAAGTCAAGCCGGGAATTCCTAAACTACCGACTGTATCAAATACTCCGACGACCTCAATGGCTCTAGTAAACTCTGGGGGAAGATTATGCGGCTTTTGGTCCCAGTGATGATCTTCTTGCTCGTGACCTTGCCAGTCTTCGAAACCTTTTGCACGAACACCGGTGATCCACTGTCGATACTCCCTCGATGAACGGAAGTTGTAGCTGTCATTATGGCCATGTCTTCGGTAGAGGTCGTACAGAGCCGGGAAGTCGTCCATTTCCTGGGGCTGAATGATTCCAATATCTGTAATAAGACCTGCAACAGAGCGAGCCGTGTACGCCCCTCGGGAGAAGCCAAAGAAAAAGAGTTGGTCGTGCGGGGCATAGTTCATAACGATGAAGTTGTACGCCTCGATGACACTGGCCACAAGACCGTCGCCAAAAGTCGCCTGCCTGCCTCTCTCGAGAATATTCACGCCACCACCCGTGCCGACGCCGGCGCTGTAGAAGACGACCTGCTGGCAGATGCTATCTTCTTTTCCATTCTCTTTGACCGATCCCGTAAGCGCGACGGAGCGGGCTAGGCGGGTCACGTTGGATGGAATGTTCTGTTGGCCGCTGACGGAAGATTGCCAGGTCCCGTCACAGCAGATAACTATGCGCTTGGGGGTAGATTTCTGGCCCTTGTCTGGTACGAGAGTCTCGCGAGAAACTTGCAGTTTATCTACTTCCTCGAGGTAGTTGGCGGAGAGAAGGGTGTCTTTGGCTTCATTCGTCGCTACTGTGTGGTGGGTCTTGACGCCTGTCGTCCCTTGGACGAAAGATCGCCAAAGGTTTGAGGAGTTTGTACTTGAAGGCGAGTTGGGCGACATGTTGAACTTTGAAGAGCGGATGACTGGCGATAATCAATTGTGGCCTACTAGGGATTAGATGGCCATGGCACAGAGGTGGATATCAAGCAGATAAATGTATGATAGTGGAGGCAGGAGCTCTCCAACAGCTGTATGAGCCTTTCTCGCGTACGAAGAGAAGTTATTGCAGCTAAGGCTGAAGGGCTGAACGAATTCCCGCGCAGATGCCGTTTCCAGTTAAGCCAATCCAGCCGAACGCGGTGCGGACACAAGAATCAACAGATGACTTTACACGTGAAGATTACCTTCTTGTATGATCTTACATGACCTTTGTCAAAAACAAGAAATCTTCTTCAAGTTTTGTTTTCATAGCCGATAAAATACCACATGTGAATCAAAGAAAGACAGCCTTGAGGGCCGAACCAATCTGAGACAACAATGCCGGTTGAACACGGCGAGAATTCTTCGCAAGGACAGGTAAGTTTCCCCCTCCCTATCTCGAAACGGCTCGTGGCTAGCGGCAATGGCATGCTTGAGCGCGTCTCCATCCTCGCACCAAGTCCCGCGTTCGGCACTCCGTTATCTCAACTGAACCCGCGCTTCCAGCTCACCAAGCATTCCACGACGCGTACTAAAATCATATGTAATTGAGGCCGACCACCTCAAAGTCCTATTCCCGTCTCCGGCGGCCCAAGATAACTCTCCGCGATGGTCCCGTTCACCGCCAACACGATCTTTTCAAGATAGACCTCTGGCGAATTAACCTGCCAACGAAGAGTATGCTTCCCCACGCTCATCCGCGGCAGCTGCACGACCTTTGTCCACACATGATCGGCCACATTGTCATTCCACTCTGGGGGTGTATCACCCGGCGTAGCAGGGTCGCCAAGCACGCGTGTGAAGTTCGCGGTGCCGCTACCCTCAGCACCATCATCCGCCAGTGCGAGGTAGAATTCCATTGGGAGGTTTGGGTCTGTGTCGAGCGCACCGTTGATGTAGACCGTGGCGTTGATTGCTTTCGAGATGTTGGAGAAGATGTAGATGTCGTAGTCCACCCATGCGGCACGAGCTGCTTCGCTGGACTGTCGAGCGGCAGTAAATGGTCTCAGGGCGACGGATCCTGATTCTGAGCGGGAGCCAAGGTGCTCGATGTGCGTGAAAGCCACGCCAGCATCACTCTCAGACTCGGCGGATGCGCGTTGGTAGTGAGGCCCCTCGATGGATATGAGGCCGGCTGTCTCAGGGAACCCGACGAAGCCCTCAGGGGCACGATGGTTCAGCACGGGAATATGGATCAAGTCAAAGTAAGGAGCCGGATCCCACTCCACGCGAATCGAAACGGTCTCGTTGAACTCTGTAGGTACCGAGTCCCAGTCAATGGAGACTTCGATTCTCTCCTCAGGTTTGTCATCGGATAAGACGCCGAAAGTACTGGGCACAAGAACCCAAGGGTAAGGGACCTCCAGCGTCCAATTGATGGGCTTTCGGTGATCGCCACGGTGAAACAGCTCGATAAGTCGGGATTTTGGCCCGTGAGGTTCCATAGCCGGCAAGACTGGGGAAAAGCCCTCGTCGGTTGGTAATGCCGGATGGATAGAGCCACAAATTCGGCCTTGTCGGTAGGCGCTGAGGGAGTTCTCGACGTATATGCCGAGCTCGCCGACGCCCCAGTCGAATGCTTGCCGTTGTTGGACATATGAAAGGTTAGCGACCACGTCGCTGGACGAGGGCCGCCAGTCCGTGAGATCCATGTCGTACTTTGGCGTAGTGAGTAAGCCTTTCCATTTGCCGTCCAGCATCGTATCGTATTCTTCGGTGAGGTCAAAGTCATCGTCAAAGTGCTGTAGAACCTGTTCTGCGATCAAGTTTGCAGAATTCCGCCTCTCGTAGCTGTACTGTCTATTTCTTCCCGAGCTGATCACGATGAAATGGTAATGATATCCGATCAAGGCGGGATACGTGAGGATATGGAACAATGCGATGCGACGATCCTCTGGCATGGCCTCGTGTAGAGCCTTAGCCTTTTCTGCTAGCTGTCTCCAGGCCTCGAGAACGCGTTCTGCCTCACGGTAGTTAAGGATAGAATATGTAATGGGTTGTAGTATCTCGAACTTGCGCATCCCGACCAGGTGGCTGTACGTCATGAGCGCAGAAGAGATCTCTTCGGCGTGCTCCGGACCAAAGTCACGAGTTGCGAGTGCCGTCAGGTAAGAAGGTATTTTGGCAAAGCCGAACCTGCTCGTATTCCATGCCATGTCCATGGCAAAAGAAAGTGGTAACTCGTTGGGCTTGATGTCGCCTACGTTCATGACCCAGATTCGTCGGATGCCGCGCTCGTAAGCCTGAGATAGCTCTTTGTAGACTTTAGGCTGAATGCGAGTCAGAAGTCTTAGTTATCCTACGATATTTTCCTCGAGACTAGAGTGGACTTACAAAGTTGTTGGTGTTTTGAGACTTCCAGCTCTTTGGTTTGCCAACATACTGGAAGTGGAAGTAGACCTGTATAGAGACGATATCAGGATCTAGTTATCTCATGAAATTCAGGCGACGACTCACTCCAATGCCTCCGACTCTCTCACGCTCTAATTCGGTCGGGAGTCGTTGAATATTTCCCCAATTGTCGTCAGTGAACATCAAGGTCACATCTTCAGGAGGATTCAGGCCAGCTGCATAGTATGTGGCAACTTCCTTGTATATGGTCCACACCTCTTGAGCAGTAGCCAAAGTCAGTCAACAGGCTTGGATGTATAGCACAGGCAACTGCTGGAAGGGGGTTTTGAACTCACGGTTTGTCGCCGTGACGTTTCCGTGATACTTTGCCAAGATCTCTCGTTCTGTGGCAAAGACATCCTCAAGGACCGCAATCGGATCATCGGCATCGATGGGACCATCATCAGTGCCTCGCATTCCCAATGTAAAGTAGGACTCATTGTTGCCCGCTCGGCGAATCCCCTCGTCCATGAAGGCGACCACGTTCTCTTTGTTGTTGACCCAGTCCCAGTCGCCCTTTGGATCTTTCTTCCACTCATTGCTTGCTCGCTGCATGGGCTCATGGTGGCTAGTAGACACGACAATGCCATAATCATCTGCCATTTGCTGACTCCATGGGTCGTCGGTGAAGAAGATCCTTCCCGGCTTAGGAATGTAACTTGCCCACATCGCAGGCCAGATGAAGTTGGCCTTCAGTCGGAGAAGCAGGTCAAAGACGTGCTGATATAACTCGGAGTCAAGGGTAAAGTTGCCCACGTTGTTCTTCTTCCTCCCCCACCAGCCGGTGAGTGCGGGTGCTTCGTCATTGATGAAGAGACCTCGGTATTTCACGCTGGGCTCGCCATGGGTTGTGATCTTGTTGAGAGCGTAGATTTGGGTGTGCTTGGTTGTCGGCACGTCTGCCCACCAATGTAGACTAACAGGGATGTAATCAGCTCGACAAAGTCTCTGGACAGATTTTTTATGCCTTCCTTAATCTCGCAACCCTGCGGTAGGGACGTTTGTCATTCTAGACGTCGGATCCTTGCTTGAATGCAGAAGATGAAGGCTAGGAGACTTACGGCGACTGTCCACTTTGCTCAGAAAGGGTATAAATGCCAAAGATTACAGCTCTCTTATCGCTTCCCGCAATGACAAGAGCGCGGGAGATCCCCGGTAGAGGGCTCTCAACGACCTGGGTTCGAAACGTTTCCCACTTCCCGCCAATGTCCTCGACTTCTATCTTTCCGCTATTGACAAGCTCCTGAATAATAGCTGATTCGACTGTTCCAGCAATGATTGCAACATCGGCGATGATTGTCGAAAATGCTGCCGTTGCCCCGGTTTGATTATCTCCTTCCTGGGCTGTCCACAAGTGGACGGATGGCTTTGTTCCTGTGATTTGCTCGAAGTCGCCAGCCAGATTATTGACTGCAATGCCGATACCTACAGGGTCGTCGGCGTCTTGGATTAAAGTCGCGTCCTGAAGCTCGATAGATCCTTCCGAGGCTTCAAACGCGATGAAAGATTCTTCCAGTAGAGCTGTGATGAGGCTAGCGCATGCCACCAACCACATCCATGGGATGCCACTGTGTACCTTCATAATGGATCATCGGCAAGCCTTACTGGAATATAGTAAAACATACGTGGATGAGATGAACTTGATAGAACGAAGGTGGTTGCGTTGCTCTAGCTGTGCAGCTTGGATATATACACATGAACTGTGTTACACAGCATCGCGTGATGACCGGAATACTATGTCGTGACAAATGCCATTTGACGACCTTCGTATCTTCCATGATATGTCTGTGCAGTTGAACGTAATGGTAGCATGGAAAGCCTGATGACGTCCATAGCGGCACACCTCATGAGGTGAACTGGAAAGGGTAAGCATTCCCGTGGGAACAAGGCGACTTCATTTGTTGACCGAGTGAGTATTTGCAGCTTGACAATCTTGGCGCGGGGTTGCGGGGTTGAGGACGAAGCAAGAGGGCATCGCGTGGTCTTGGAATGATCCAGTGCAGTTGTGCAAGCGGACGAATCATTTCCTACTTGAACTCAAAGGTTGCAGATTGCCAAGCCAGATCAGAGCTTATTTACCCGGAAGGAGACCTGCATGGCCTTCATGTACCCCGACAGGATTATCCCGATGTCCGAACATCTCTTGGATCAAGACGATCATTATTGAACAGTGTGGGTATGGCCTTGAACAAAAGCAATGCTGTTCTCGTAACGCCTCCTCTATCTCACTTGGACGTTGACGTTTCTATTCTATCATCGGTTTGTGCGGTTGTAGCTGCGCGTCGCTAATCTTTGGTCTCGTCATGTACATCTCCTCTCTTCTGAAAGACATCACTAGTTGTGAAGAGACGTGGTTGGCTTCTGGGAACACCCGAAGTATCTCAATCATCATCCACGTTGCCATCCGAATAGTACTCAAAGGCCGTGGGCAGTGGTGCGTCTTTGCTGTTGGGACCGTCCGGATCAACTTCATCCACCAAGTGCTTCTTGACTTCCTGCGCGACAGGCTGGGTAGAGTCCACAGGGGCAGAGCCTTGGACTGGGCCCGGTGAGTGGTGGGTATGGTCTGCTCGCAACATCGTTGTCATCCACTTTGCCCATTCCCAGGGCTTCTCTCGGCCAGATGGCAAGCTGTTGAAGTACTCCCATCCCATGACTCCTCCAAACCGCGCATAACGATTTCGGAGCGTCAGAAGCACAGCGCCGAGCATTTCCCATGGGACCCATCCGCCACCGTTCTCAGGATTCGTGACCAGGCCCATGACGACCTTCTCCGATGCCCAGCCCTTTGCGAGGATCATCTCGTACATGATCGGGTTACTGACGTCGCCCCATCCGCAGTAGAACTGAGCATTGTACCAGGCAATCTCTTTCCCTCGCATAACCTCTAGAGCCTCGTAGTCGAAGCCACTCAGGTTGTTCTCGGAGTTCAGCAGTGCCGCGGCCACGGGCGCCATAGAAATGAGGAAGTCCTTGCCAAAGTCTTGTCGCACGCGGTCAATAAGCCGTATAACACCGCCTAGGCTCATCTCCTCTTCGACGTCGAGATCGATACCATCCAGCCCGCGTGAGCGGAGCATGTCGCGCAAGGGTATGTAGTATTCTTCAAACTTCTCCTCGTCCCCATCCAGCCTCTCGTAGGAGCCCTTAGCAGCACCGCCGAGCATACCAAGTACCTTGACGCCGCTGGCCTGCAGCACCCGTAGCTCAGCCCATAGTGTTAGGAATCGCGGGTTATCGGGGGTATGGTCGTTCAAGGTAAGGCCGTGGGGATCATCGTTAATGTGTATCGCCGCGAGAATTACGTGGGTGACGCTGATCCCTCCTTGGGTAAGGAGGGGGAGGATCGAGATGGGCTTGCCGTCGGGCGTGTGATGTGTTTGGTAGTAGGTGATTACCCGTGGGAGAGGCTGAGGCGGTACGGGCGGCATTGGAGCGAAAGAGGTTGGCTGCCTCGATCCCGCGAGGATCGAGGGCTTCCGTATGGGATTGGAACGACAGACGCGACGCGTGGGATGGTGGAAGATCGGGTGGTTGCATGCGCCAGCGCTTTGGGAGAGCTAACCATGCGGGGGTGGAAATTGGGAGGTGTTCGGATTGACGGCCCCTCCGCGAGGCCCTGCTGAGAGCTGCGTCATCAGGGCCCTCGCAGCTGACATAAGCTCATTTCTATTTCATCCCTGCTTCACTCACTCTCTCGCTCACTCACATCGACATCTCATCTCATCGACCATGAAAGTTGCGCTTAAGTCATGCATTTTGAACCATTTATTTGATGAATCCTTGATTTATTGGAACTGATACTCGAATACTTGCATTCATCTTTCTACCGTGTCACCATCTACACCCACTAGAGCTTACAATCTGAGGCCGCCGCATAGATGAAAAGCCTATTAACAACGTCGATCAACTACTCCTACCAGATTGGCTGCTTCCCACCCTTATCCATGACTCTAGTCTTGCTCGGATACTGGGATACCACGTGGAAGCACCCAACGGAATACACTGTGAGAATAACCCCAATGATATAGTACAACTGTTGATCGAAGATTTCCGGAATAGTGAGCACAAAGAACCCGAAAGGCGCAAAGGTCCAGATGGTGCCGATGATGTTGACGACGCAGAAACCGAGAGATAGTCCATGCCGGGACCCAGCCCTCAAGTAGTGATGCGTAGGCCCAAGGACGATCAGGACGTTGGTGAAGCAGAACCATTGCATGACGGATCCCTCACCCATGAACTCAATGGCCAGAAGCACGATCGAGTACATGCCCATCTGCAGCGCCAGGGCGTATGTAATGGCTGCCGACATTGATGGCTGCTTTCCGAGGACATTCCCAAAGCTGGCATCGCGCTCTTTGGTGATGGATCGATGGATAGTCCATACTTCCAGCATCGTCCAGAGGAAGAGCGCTATTGACGTGCCTCTCAGGTACCAGTGCTCCCCGTACTGAGAGGCGGCCTTGCCAAGGGTATAAGACCATGTCGAGTCGTGGGCGAGGTAAAATGAATGCATCCAGAAGGGCATCGGACCCTTTCCTTCACGTAGGGTGAGCCTGACAACGTAGGTATACTGGAGGTAGCCGATGATGAAGCTGACGGCAGAAGCGATCAAAATTGGAGTATTGTCCAAACGATAGACCTCCGTTATACGCTCATAGTAGTTAATTGCCGTCATGTTGCCGATAGATCCACTGAGGTAAGGTGATAAATGTAAGTGCAATCTTGCACGGAGTTTAGAAGAGATTCGACGCCGGCAAGCGGATTCAATCCAGCACTGAAAACCGAGTAGAAAGAGATCACCACCAGCAGCATTCTGACAGAGTCTTCTTATAAGACTTCAGAATCTAGTCTAAGGGAAGGCAATGCCCAGTCCTTCATAGCATGATCTAAGTCAAGGTTTGAAGACATCGGCGCCGAGATCCCAAGTCGAGACAGTCTAAGCCCAGCGCCAACGCTATGGCCCCCTCGAAATACCGGCAACCAGGTTCTTGACACGGATGTCCCTGGTTTCTGGGATTCTAAAAATGCAAGTGGGATGTTGATGTCTCCGCTTCATCGGGGTCCAACGCACACCGCTTGAACTCTGACATGGGCATCTCAACATTGTCAGCCAAGCTTCGGCCGAACACATCGCCGCTCAAGCTGACTGTGTAGAATGCACTGGCCAGTGGCCAGAAGATGAAATCAGAAATCACGTAACATTCAAAGCTCATGAAGACCTAGATAACCTCTTCATACTGGTTGATCAGGCGCTGAGGCACAAGACCCCGTAACACCACTACGCCAGCGTGCACAATCCCCCATCTCACCGTCGTCAAAACGTCCGCCATAATCCAAACCAAGCCATTCGTCCTCTTCCGCTCTCTCCGTAGAGCGACCTCGCCCCGTACCGCGCGCTCCGACATGCTCGCAACCAGAGCCTCCATCTCACCTTGCGGATCCCAAATCATCTCGTCGTCCTCAAAGTCATCCTCATCATCAAAGGCGTCAAACGCCCGCCGCGAAGATGCCCCGTACGATCGACTAGGTCGCGCGTGGTGATAGGCCCAGCAGGTAAGCGTCGCCAGGTACAGACACCACGGCACGTGGAAGAGGTTCATGGCCTCCATGCTGTTCAGCGTTCGCTTGGTTTCGACTAGCATTCTCGCCGCGTGCCATGCTGCTTCGGACGCGGATTGCTTGGATTGGTCGGCGTTGGTGTCGGCAGCCCCTCCTCGATCTTGTCTTGGGACGAGTGGGTGGTTTTGCTGCTGCTGCTGTATCTCGCAAGCTGACGCAGCCCATTTCTTCACAACCTGTGCGGATCTGTGGTAGTCTCGTTGCTGTACTGGCCTACCGAGGATGTGACGAGCACCAGCGTATATCTGAACATCCAAGAAGTCCATGTTGAGTAAAGCTTGTGCTGAATGATAGAGAGCCTTGTATGCTGCCGCGAACGACTCGAACTCCACTTTCCGAGTCATATCTTCGTCGCCCTCCTGCCGTTGAACTCCCTGGGCCTGGGAGGCAGATCCCCGTTGTAATTGGGACGCGAAGCTGCTGCAGAATGCATCAAAGTCGTTTTTCCATGCGTCGTAGGCGGTGCTCAGCAATTTGCGCCAACCCATCCCGAAGCTATCTCCGGAGACGACACCCAGAGCCGTCTGATCACGCCGGCCCATGTCCCAAGAGATGGACATCAAGCCATGAAGAACAAGAATCCTCGAGAATCCAGTGAGGCCAGCTGGTCGCGGGGCTGAAGGTGTAAGATAAGATTTCAGAGTGGGCAAGTAGAACAACCTCTGGTCGCTAAGACTTGAGCGCCATGCCGACGCCCATGATGCGGCATCCCGAGCTTCCCATATGCTCTGGCTGCACGGTAGTTCCAGTCGGAGCTCAAAAGCTGACATGCAGAGACTCTGGCAGAAGAGAACTGCGTGCTGCGTATCCCACATAAAACAGAGCAAGGCCAACCTGGGCTTCTGTTAGCCCTCTGCTGACTACAACGAATGCAAAGGGAACGTCAAGACATACCTTTTCTTCTGCTCCGCATCGGCCCACTTCCTCCATGCCTGGTCCAAGATGCTGGGGTTATCTTCGCCCGAGACTGGTGGCGGACCCGGCGGTCGCACAGTCTGGCAATCGGAACGGCGAATGAGATTGATCAGAAGTCCATGGAACAAATGGCTCATGTCGTGTTGTTTCTGACCGGCACGCGACTTGCCAAAGCACTCGACCAGCAGAATTGTCTGCAATGTCCAGAGCTCTGGCCTAGGTGAGAATCCGGCATGGGCAAAGATGCTCGGCCGGATTACATCATGTATGCAAACAGCAAGTTGATGGCAGTCTTTGCTCGAGTACGTAGCACCTAACAGCAGGATGGACAACAGGAGCAAAGGTTCGGTATTCCTGCAGTCAAATGTTTCTAGGTGGATGAGTGGGTATGCGGTGTTGAAGCGAGTGAAGAATAGCTCCAGATACGACTTTAGTGAGTCCGCTGATAGTAACGGGTGCTCCCATATCGTGGCGCGTTGGTCAGGCAGGTTAGGCTTGGCGCCGTCAATGACGTTTAACAGCCTCTCTCTCACATCTTCGCCAATAGGAGGGATTGTAAGCGGCTTCCTCAAGGAAGACAGTGGTCTTTCTGGTTCGGTCGGAGTTGGCCGGCTGGGTGCAGGGTAACGCTGCCGAGCTGCTGATGGCGCATCGCTAGGTCTTCGAAACTGCGCGATGTCTGAGCTCCTCTCCCTGGAGTTTCTCATCGCTTGCCGTCTGGCAGCTTCACTAGCGGTTGTTGAGGTATTGCTTGGTGGATCGGACGACCTCTGTCTCTCCTGATCCTTGCTAGTCATCTCCATGGGCTCTGTCCACAGCTGTGCGCTCTTCATCGACTCCGGCGTGATGGCGACGTTTGCTTGCGATTTAGGTTGGGATTGATTGTTTGCCATGTGAGTTTCAAAGTCTTGAGCTAGATTCGAAGGTCTCGACGCTGCGATGAGGGCTGAGTTTTCTTGCATGTTGAATAGCCAGTTGTAATCCAGCGCAGTCGTGTATGGCATATTAAAGGAGCTGGCAGTGTCGGGTTGGAAGATCTGATCGTAGTCCAACTGTTCGCTCATGAATGATGTCTCACCCCAGCTACTGGACTGGGTCGTATTGATGTCGAAGTGGCTCTCCGATCCTATAAAATCGGAAAACTGTAAAGAAGGAGGGAACCCCGAGAAGTTGGTGACAGGTTCAGTTGGATTGACAACGTCTTGACGTCCAATGGAATACTGTTGAGCGTCGCTCTGGCTTCCTGGCCGAAGATCCAAGGTTGAGCGCCTGTGAAACTCTGGTGATATGTTGTCGATGGAGTAGTCTTGGTCTGGCTCAATGTCTAAGCCGGACAGACTATGATCCCCGTCGTGGGGTTCTGGGTCAGGTGAAGGAACTTGTTGAGCTTGAGGACGCTCTTTTCCTCCCGATGCCCGGCCCCGTCCAGACGGATTCGGGCAGGGCCGCTTTTCTACAACAGACCCGTCCGGGGCCTTCCAAGATCGCTTTCGTGTGTCTAAAACGCCGCAGCCTGGTCCGCCTGCTTCGAGATCTTTTTGGCGGTGACGGTCCATATGCCGTTCTGATTGTAGATGAATATGAAGTCAGCGGGCTATTCGTTTTCGGAAGGCTCGAGATTGAATTACAAACGGTAATAGTTGTCGGCATATTGCTTTACTGTTTCGTCTTTGAATCTACTTACTCAACAGATCAGGTCGCTTGAAGTGAGCATTGCATAAATCGCAGCTCAACCCGCCAGGCATATGGTTGAGAGCATGACGTTGCATATGCTCAGCCCGAGTGAAGCGTCTGTTGCACCCAGGGTGCGTGCAAGAAAAGGTCTTGTCTTCGCCCATCAAGCCTTCTGAGCTCTCTGAGCGACGATGGTTCTCACCAGCACCAGCCATGGCGTAGGAATTGTTCATAGTTTCACCGCCGAGTTGCAAATTACACCAATCCACTTCCGAGAAAGGAACGTATGTCAGTCGACCCCTGGCAAAGCGAAGGAGAGAAAATTTTGATAACTCAGGCCTTAGGAAGAGACTTGGAAAGACTGGCAAAGTTGGCAGAGTGAAACCACGGTTCAGGTGTCTCGCTCGCTTCGATAGGAGCTCATAGATGGGGGAATGGGGATGGGCATAGCATCCGAACGTGCCGTCCCACTTCTCCGCATTTCCTCCGGCTTTGAAGAGTAACGATACCCGGCTTCCCAGGCCGAGTAGAATCTCCATACTAGGAAGTATGAGAAATCTCCGATTTGTTCATCGCACAACATCCCGGCACTAGGTCTCGGTGTCACTCCTCCCCCACTCTCGAAGACTCCCGCCACTACTGATAAGCATCGTTTCTGGCCTCGCAATTCGTATCCGACGACACCAACATAAGTCCGAGGAGATAAGAGTGGGGTACAGGTGACTTCGGCGTGCTGGTAATATGCTCCAACTGCGGGCGTATCTTATCTAGCTGCTCTAGATATGCGACACATGTAGATACGAATCGAACTTTACGTAGGACAATTGATGTTCGCGGAGTTGCATATCCGGAGAGAGGAGATGTATCAATTATGGCGATCGCGTTGGGTGCACCGAGTAAAGCCGGCAGTGGCCGTGAACTACGCCTCTAACGACAGTGAACGGATGATGCGGCCATTCCACTCTTCGAGAACGCTGCAGCATGCATTTGTAAGAGCTAGGATAGTATCTAGCAGCCATACAGCTGGATTATTGTATACAAATTTGCCAGTGCACCGACAACATCATCACATAACACAGTCAACATCAGATGACAGGAAGTTGCATAAGGCCTGTGAGTATATGCACTAAAGAATTAGTTGTCTCCTTCAAGACAAGCATAGACCAGCATATTATTTGCGTCCCGAAGAGTAGACTGGAGCCGTGCAACCAGACACCAGCACCATGTCGCCGTCGACTTCGAGGAGTGATTTGATTCAAGAGAAGCAACAGCGCGTTGCGAGTACTAAGCTTCACGTGAGTCTTCATCTATTACACGCTCAATGAAAGTCGCCGAACTAATTTCTCCTATGCTAGGTGATAATTGTGGGAGCGGGTCTAGGTGGCCTAGGCGCCGCCATCTCGACGCTGCTGGCTGGACACGATGTCACGGTTCTAGAGGCCGCCTCAAATATCGGCGAGGTCGGTGCGGGCATCCAAGTCCTCCCGAACGCCGCCCGCGTCCTATTCTCCTGGGGCTTGGAGGAGAAGCTGGAAAAGTACGCCACAAAGCCCCAGAAATGCAACTTCATCGGCTGGAAAGGCAACTTCCTGTCCGAAATGGATTATCACAAGTACGCCGCGGCGGCGGGAGATTTCCCCTTCTGGGATTTTCATCGCTCCGACCTGCATCGGTGTCTCCTCGAGCGCGCAGTAGAGCTTGGCGCGAAGCTCGAGACGAATGCAAAGGTCGATACTTTTACAATCTCACCGGATGACACGACGGCTACGGTGTACCTCGTTGGCGGACGCAGCCTGACGTGCGACCTTCTCGTTGGCGCGGACGGCATCAACTCCAAGCTGAGGGAGGAGTTCCTATGCAAGCCTGATCCACCTCAGCTGACAGGGGACCTGGCATATCGACTGCTTTTGAACACGGCCGACATGCTCAAGGACCCCGAATTGAGGCACTTTGTGGAGAACCCCCAAGTCAACTACTGGGTTGGACCGGACAAGCACGCGGTGAACTATGTTCTCAAGGGCGGTCAGCTCTTCAACATGGTGTTGCTGGTGCCGGACGACATGCCCGTCGACGGCGGCAACACCCTGCAGGGAAACATTGAGGAGATGCGGGGCCATTTTGCAGGCTGGGATCCCCGCATTGGCAAGATGCTCCAGATGTGCGACGAGGTTCTCAAATGGAGACTGTGCATCCGGCCAGGCCTGGAACCAACGTGGTCCCATCCGTCTGGCGCCTTCACGATGCTCGGAGACGCCGTGCACGCGACGCTGCCTTACCTGGCCAGCGGGGCGGGTATGGCGCTCGAAGACGGAGGGGTTCTGGGTCTCTGCCTCGCTCGACTGACCGACACTTCAGCCGCATCAAAGCGACAGGCCCTAAAGGTCTACGAGGACTGCCGACGGGAGCGGACGGAGAGGGTCGTCCGCCGCGGAACATACAACCAGTGGATCTATCACCTCCACGACGGGCCAGAGCAGGTTGAGCGAGACGCGAAGTTCAAGGAGTTTGAGGAGATGGACGCGAAGTGGCTGAGCGGGGATTCAGCCGTGTTACCCGCATCTCAGGAGACAGGAGATGACCCCTTTCCGTGGAGGTATCATGGCGTAGGGAGGTGGTTATTGACATACGACATGTGGAAGGATATCGAATCGAAATGGCCCTCCGACTCGGCCGGCACATCGGCAAAAGGAGGAAACCCAACCCCTCGGGCAAGTTTGTAGAGCATAAGCTTATTAACCTGTAAAAAAGAAAGTACAAACTTTGAATAATACGAGAGCCTTGAGCCGTTGTGGCCTGTTAATTCCCGGCTGGATCGGGCCCTTGTAGGTAGCTGCGATCCTATTTATGCAAAAGGAGGAATAGTAAACAATAGTCGCAAAGCCTGCCTTACCGTTTCCCCTGCTCCTTTGTTTTTGGTTCGATAGCCTGGCGGCTAGGCTTTAACCAAGATGGAAAACCTCCGGCGGGGGGGTAATGGAAGCTAGAAAGTTTTGGGCAATGTTATTAACCACATCAATCACCAGCACACTCGCGAGAACGTCAAAACGGTATCGCCCTGCGTGAGGGCGTGCAGGTATTGGCAGTCCCGAGGATTTGGTTCGTTACCAAGGATACAAACAACTCAACCCAGCCAGCTGGGCCAGCTGAAGCAGCTGAGCGTTATATTGACTCTAGCACAGTGGAGAAGGATGCCGTATTTCGTCCAATAATGGCTTAAGATGTCTTGAATTGAGAGAGATTAAGCAACACCGACCCCGTCTTACCGTTCCCAGGCCGCGTTTCCCATCCCATGTCCATGTCTGAAGGGTAATATCCTCGGAGCTCTCGAGGACTTCAACACCACCAGAATGGAAGAGCCGCGTACGAAAATAAGGTCGACTAAGGAAGAAGCTAAGAAGAAAAGGGGTACGAAATCCGGAGGGCTGGTAAGCGCGCCGCCTAGCGAGCCGGCGCCTGAAACCAACTAACATAGGTCGGCGCACGGTGCCTGGCAGTCCTGTCCAGAGGAAAACTTGGGAATACCAACATGCGCGTGGCACTCACGATAGTACGAGGGAGCTGAGCGACAGCTCGCCTAATCAGCGCTTGGTCAAGCTTTCTGGCATGGAATAGGGTGACGAGGAGTCCAGAACCATGGGCTCGCCCACGTGGAGGCTTGCCCACGAGGCAGATTCACGGCGGCCGCTTGTTGTCATTTTGCTGAATCGTGAGCTGAAGCATCCTGAATACATAAGTCTGCGATCTTCCTCCCCATCTCCCGATTCAGATCTTCTTATCCATCCTCATCATCTCAGAAGCTCCCGAACATCCTCAGCTTCCTCAACCGGGTCATCAATACTCTCTTCAGTCTCGCCACGTGCTCTAGACACCTGCCAATACTTCAAGATGCGTTCCGCTATCCTCGTCGCCGCCATCTCTGGCCTTGCTGCCGCCGGCCCTGTCGCTCCCCGTGACACTACTGCCCAGAACGGTATTGATCTGAGTGCTTTCGATGTGAGTCCACACTGCCGGTAAAGCTTCTTTTCTCGCTTCAAGCTGACCCCCAGTACAGGCTGAGCCTGTTCCTACCAAGGTTGGCCCCGCTGTCGGTGCCACCGTCGAGACTCCCACCTACGACCCGGCGGTCGCCAAGGCTGAGGCCTCAAAGGATGCCGCGGCCAACCCCATTGCCGTCTCCAACTCCACCCTGGCCGCCCGTACGGTTACTCCCGCCGGCTGCGGAGCCAAGCAGCCCGACGGCTACGGACCCGTGTCCAGCCCGGATGACTATGCCACCTTCATGAACGACCCTCAGTTCACTACCATTGCCACCAATGCTCAGGTGCCTGCCGGCTACAGCCTGTCGTTCTCCAACAAGCAGGGCGCCACGGAGTGCAATACCTACTTGGGTCTCTACACCATGAAGACCTTTGACACTATCAAGTGCCAGCAGGTAAAGACAACTTCACCCAGAACAAACATCAAGGAAGCAATATCTAACCGTCAATAGTACTGCGATGCCGCTCCTGCATGCTACGGTATCAACGTCTACATGGAGAGAGACCCCAAGTGGGACCCTACCGATGCGTGCCCCAACCCTGCCAGCATCACCAACTACAAGTGCACCCTCTGGGGTTCCGCCGTCACCGCGGAGACCGCCACCAATGTTGGACAGTGGAGAAACCAGTTCCACGTCGGTGTGACTGGATCGAACGGTACGCAATCCTGATCTTTCCCATGCCAGCTATCGAGAGGGCTAACTGACTCCAAACAGGATACTCCAAGCTTGCGCCTCCCCCTTCTTACCCCGACTTCACCGGCCCTACTGCCTTCGGCGGCGCCACCCAGGCTCCCAAGTCATACATGGGATCCAAGTACTACCCCGGTGTCTACAACCCTGAGCAGTGCGCCGTCGCCTGCAAGGCCAACACCAAGTACGACCACGACCACCCCAGAGCTGACGGCACCTACGATGCCTGCAACTTCTTCAACGCCTACGTCCTCAGCAAGAACAACGTTCCCCAGGGAACCTACTGCTCCCTGTACACCCAGTCCTGGGACAAGTCCTACAGCACCAACGTTGGACAGTGGAGAGGCAGCGACTACTACTCCGTCTCCTCCAGCTACGGATATACTCTTACTGTCCAGGATCCCGGCGTGATCGTTGTTTAAAGGGTCGGTCTTTTTGACGAGCGTCCTACGCTTCTCGAGGCTCTAATCACTCTTTATACTTTCAATGCTTATGAGACCATTGAAAAGTTGGACAGGTATTGTGTGGCGATGCATAGATTGATCACAGACCGATACGATTGCAAGAATAATGAGGCGGAATGCGGAGTGCATTACATACCTAGTCTATAATTAGTAACGGTAGTAAATATTGATGATAATTGCATATTACAAACTCTCAAAATGACATTGTGGGCCTTCCCAGAAAGTTTTCAGTGTTAGTGATTATGCTTTCGGTCTCCATCCAGCATTGTTCCAGAATTCGGAAGAGACGACATGGAAAGGAAGTCGGCAAACACCAAACAAAAGGGCAGGTGGCGTGACTATTCACTGTTCCCTTGTTCCCACGTTACGCAAATCAAACATCCAAATTCCCCAGATCTTCTGCCTCATTCGACGTCGTGAAATCTTTTCCATTCATAATGATGCTGGAATTGAGACTGCACATGCCACCTCTAGCAATGATCATTACATGTAGGCTCTAATGGGTCTAAGCATTCGCTGTAACCTCCGCATTATCAACCTTATAAAACTCATAGTCATTGTATCCCTTTTCCGGAGGCTCCGCCCCGTAAAAGGTCGTCCTGTCGTATGGGTTCAACTCCCATCCGTTCTTCAACCGCTCCACAAGATCAGGGTTGGCAATGAAATATCTGCCAAATACAATCGCATCCGCCTCGCCGCTCTTCAACTTCGTAACAGCATTGTCGCGGTTGAAGTTGCCAGCGGCGAAGAAGTGGACGCCTGCTGGCTTGAGAATGTCCCTGAATTGTGTCAGATTGTTCGTCTGTGTCGCCTCAGACTTGGTTCCAGACAGCGAGGCAAGCTTTTGTTCCTCATCGAGGACTTCGTCAAAGCGAGGCTCGATCCTAAATCGAATCATCAGTAGCTATCCTCTTTTGGAGTGGTTACTTATAAGCAGATAGTCTTACATGTGCACATAGGCGGGCCTCTCAGTCTCTGACATCTCTGCAATCTTTTGGCTAATGAATGACCAGTGCTTGTTGGGGTTGCTGTCTCTTGTGCCTTGGAAGTAGTTGTACGGTGAAAGGCGGACGCCAACCTTCTCGGGGCCAATGGCGGCACTGACGGCCGACAACACTTCGAAAAGGAACCTTGAGCGGTTCTGTATCGATCCACCGTACTCGTCTGTGCGAGTGTTGATGTTATTGTGGAGGAATTGTTCAAGCAAGTATCCATTAGCCCCTATCTTCATGTTAGCTTATTCGTAGCAAGCATTCAATGCGCGCGACATATTCTTACCATGAATCTCAATGCCATCAAAACCAGCAACCTCAACCGCGCGCTTAGAAGCCGCAGCCCACTCTGCAGTCAAGCCGTGGATCTCCTCTATGGTCATAGGCCTGGGAGGACCATCTTTGCACGCAGTTCCATCAAGGTAGTTCCCATCCATTGGCTGGGTTCCCGAAGAGATAGGCGTCTCGCCTCCACGCATTCCACCAGAAGAGGCTCTGCCAGTGTGCCAAAGCTGAACAAAAATGAACCCACCCTTGGCATGGACGGCATCAGTGACCTTGCGCCATCCTTGCAGCTGAGAGTCGGTGAAGACGCCTGCGACACCGGGGTAGGCGCTGGCATTGAGGCAGATGTCGGTGGCCTCTGTGATTTGGAGACCCCCGGCACTGGCTCGCTCGCCGTAGTACTTTGCTACACGGGCCCCTGGGACATGAACACCGCGAGACTCGAACTCACTTCTCATGCGAGTTGTGGGTGCCTATCAAGTATGTTAGCACTACATCATCGCCATCGCCATGTTGTTGGTAGCTTGCTGGACTTACTTGCACGATGCGATGCTTGAGGCTGATGCTACCCAACTTCAGTGGGGTGAACAGCACTGTATCCTTCAGAGCGGCAAAGGCCGGGGGAGGAGTGGTTGCTTTGGGCATGGTGTGAAGCTATTCAGGAAATATGGTCAAGACCTAGTATTGGATTGGTGTCTTGATAGGAAGGGGGCTTGCTGAGGTCTGTTGAGCACTAAGAAGCCCATTGAACGTCGTTGAATGTGGCAGGTTATGAACATGTCATCTGAAGCCCGGAACCACATTTGCAAAGCCACTATTCAGTGACCCTAAGGGTACACGCTGGCGTGTTAGTCGTGATCGCCATGTTGATGCATCGTTGCTAGTGCCTCGAGATGCCCCCCATTCCAGTGCAAGAGTGGAGAGTGGGGGGGCTTCCTGGGTTGGGTTGTGGTGAGTGGGATATCTCGGAAGTGGGGGTGCACTTACACCGAACCCGTCCAGTCGGCAACCTTGACTTGCCGTATCTATCCGTATCTGTATGGTATTCTAAAGAGCATAGCCATCAGTCCACTTCTAATCATCGCTGGTGTTATCCCCCCCGGTGTGTTACATTCGGCAAACCATGGTTTAGTGCAGTTTAGACACGGGGAACTCGGGAGTACGGGAGACCGCGCCTTTTCCCCCACATGCTCGCAGATAGACATGGGGAAAGCTCTCATGGGGCCGTCATCTCATAGGAGCAAGGGAGACGATAACACACATCTTCAAGTCATCGCTTTGGTAACAGATTGATGTGAATCGGGTTCGGGAGAAGCAACTTTGATGGGAGAACACCAACGACTGGACTAATATTGGTAAGCAGTTCAAGCATGGCGAACTTGTAAGATGAACGTGGTCTAGGTGGGCTGGTTCATTTTGCCAGGGAATTGCATGATGCTTTCGTCTGACACAATTCCATCATCTCTACAGTGCATCAACTCTTGAAGGCCGTGATGATTTTGAGAACTCTGCGTGCGTACGAAATTGAAGGATAGTCTACGTCGTAGTTGTGGAATTTCAACTCTACAATTTCCTGCATAAGACAATCCCTAAGACGGGTAGTTGTGGCAAATCTAGCCCAAGCTGCCCCAGCACCTGGACCTTGATTGATATAGAAACACTTGTGCGCTTTGGCGTGGTATCAGAGTTGAAGAAAAATTCAGAAATTGCATCGCTTTTTGATTATAGGTCCGGCGAGGAAATGAACGTTTTCATTATCGTGTAGCTCTGCATTAAGTCTTCGAGCCAGGAGCTGAGTTCAAAATTTGCAAGTTGGTCACAACAACTAGAGAGAAGCGTGCCCGTGGGTCTCGTAAGGCAATCCGATGCAAAACAAGCCCACCACAATCCATAAAGCAGCACTGGCATAGATAGGCACAACAGTGTATCCCGCATACGTCGACACAAACGAAGCCGCAAGGCCACCGACGCGAAGAAGAGTAGCGGCAATGCCAGTGCCTGTTCCGCGAACTGGGCCAGGGAAAGACTCGGGCGTGAAGGCATACATGACGGCGTACTCTGCGAATATTGGTTAGCAATTGCACTTGTATAATCAGAAAATGACTTGAGGACCAACTTACCAAAGTTTCCAAGAATTCCGGTTGCGCATTGGAATCCGATATCAGCCGCTTCCGTGCCCACTGCCGTGTAAGCGAACAAGAAAACTCCTGTCAAGACCGCAGATGCAGCCATCATCCAGCGGCGGCCAAAGCGTGTCTCAACGCAGAAGCCGGCCGCGATGGGTCCAAGAACACCGGCCGCAGAAACAATGCAGTAAATCATGTAGGTGTGGTTCAGCGAGGTATTTGCAGAGTATGTAGACTTGGTCGCGAGGTATGACGGGATGAAGGCGAAGTAGAGCGGGTACGCCACACCGACGGTCAGCCAGATGAGGAACGTGACGGACGTGTGCTGCGCCATCTTGCGACCGGCAAACAGTTTCTTGTAGTTGTCGGCGTTGTAGTCCCTGAAGCTTTCCTTGAGGATCTCCATGTGGGATAGCTTGGAGCCTCGAGGCGCCATGTCGGGGTCGACCGCCGCGGCGGCGGGGGCAACGCTGCCTGCGTCTGACTCTGAAATACCGGCGCATTGTCTGTCGATGGCTTGCAGCATTTCGAGGGTGAGGGTTTCCGGTCGCTTGTTGTAGCGCGCAATGTAATTCACGGCTTCGACGGCCTCGGCATCGCGACCCTTGGAAATGAGGAATTTGGGCGATTCGGGAATCTTGAAGGCCACGATGCGGATCAGACCAAAGGCAATGGCGATACCACCGAGAGTGATCATAAGGTAACGCCAGCCCATGTTATCTTGCATGCGGCAAGGAGCTTCCGTAGAGTCGCAGGCAAAGTTGGCCAAGAAAACCCACGCCAGGAGCGACACGATGACCTGTCCCAAATTCCACCATCCAGACAAGCTTACGAGCAGCCACTGATGGGTCTGGGGAACAAACTCCAGAAACACGACGCTGTCCACGGGTACGTTACCGCCCGCCGCCGTACCGATAATGGCCCAGATGATGCAGAAACCCGTAAAGTTTTGAACGCCGGCCACGGCGCACGCAAAGACGCCGCCGTAGAGGATCGTGGCGTTAAAGGCGGGCTTGCGACCGATGAGATCGGCGGTGGTGCCCCAAAAGGAGGCGCCGACGATCAGCCCGACGTAGTACGCTACGGAGCTGAAGCTCAATTTCGCAATGTCGGTGAACTCGTTGCCGATCGGTGGCCGGATTGCTGTGATTCCCTGGGACCAAAAGTTGTCGACAATCCAGCCGAAGCCGTTGACGACGAAGAGGATCCATTGGAATCTGAGAAGGAGGGGGGAAACGGTTAGCTTTTCTTCCACCTTGCGCCGGTAGTATGAAGCCAGAAAGCGAGGGAGAGGAATCTCAAACATACTTTCCCATGCCAATCTCGCCCAAGTGCTTCGCGATTAGCTCCGACTTGAGACGATAGTTCTCGTTCACGGCGCCCGTGTAAAAGTCACGGAGGACCGAGTCGCCGACGGAACTTGCATCTCCCTGGATAACGGACCCGGAGGCCGTCTGCCTCAAGCTCGACTCTGTCGCATCCTTTGTGACACTCTTCTCGCTCGGAGCAGACATGATGAATATAGCCTGGTCGATTCGCAAGGGGGAACAGGGAG